TTTCTACGGTTAAACGTTATTCAACGTTAACTAGGAACCGTGGTTCCACTGTCAATTTTTATCTTTAACGAACAACGTAATATACCCTGTGAAGTATAAAGTATATAATGCTGTAAAGAGAACTATGCCAATTATTCAACAATTAATAACATAAAGTACTGGTAATATGAATACAGTTTTAGTCCCTGTATCACTATCTTCAATGAGCGTTGCTATCAGGTACAAATTATACCAACATCTTGCTCGAAATTCGATCCTGCAGAACCAAAATCTGGGGTTGATACGCCAAGTTGTCCCTTTACCATATACAAGTCAGGGTTAACCACGATTTCTGTCGTCTCACTCACTTATTTTATCATCTTTCGGGTAGCCAAAATGTATGTTAAAACAACAAACAAATTTATTTTCATATAACATTAATTTCAATATAATTATGTTACACTAAAAACAGATCACTGGCACGAAAGCTTCATAACATAAACATAATATGCCATGTCAAGTAACATGATATGCAACATAATGAATCAAGAAAACACCTCTTTATACAACACTAACAACACCTTGCCCTGTGCATATACATATATATATAATAAAACTGTCGTAAAGGCCACTGTTTGAAACAACTTTCACATTACATCTCTGCAGCAAACATTAAATTTTATGGTGTAACAGCATAATCTGTAAGACACCCATTCATTAGCACGAAGTTTACTTATTCAGCATAAAAATTTAATTACTACTTCGAGCAACATATTTAATCCAACGACAATTCTGCCCAGCGCTATGGAGGAGTTCAGCAGTCCCACATTTAAAAATATTACCGACGTCACGGATTTTCAGAAAAGTGACAGCGCTAGAATCACTGGTCCAAATTGTAAACACGATACTACTTCATTCGGTTTATAAGGCACGCCCCCGGCCAAATAAATATAATCAATTTCTAAATAAATAACCCGCAAGAAGCCCAACTAGATATGGATACAATTCTGAATTAAACAGCGTAAAATACATTTCACGCATTCTCTTTCTCGTATCCACTTCAAGAGAATGAAAGTCCTGTCTGAACTCACGGCACCAAAGTAAAGAGTAATCTTATGCGAAAGTAACCGCTGTACCTCAACGTGCTGTTGCTACTAATGGTTGTAATGTGAAAGGAACTTCAGAATGTAAAATATTGACCCAACAGGACACAGCCTTTCGCTTTGTTTAGGTTAGTATGGAATATATAAAAGCATGGTAACTATATTTTAGATGTGTGCGCAAGTCCAGTGTATGGTGAAACCGTTTTGATGAGGGGACGGATATCCGCAAAATTTGGATGTTCCTTATCTCCTAAAAGCTGGAAGATGACTGCTTCACTTGTCGTGATGAAACAGCCAATCTGTCGCAGTCTCTGCAATGAAGAGTATTTGTTCATTGTCTCTATCAAATTATTTTTTCAAAAAACTAGCAGCTGTTTATTCCAAAAGTGAGGATGGGAAAAATTTTCTAAGGTGATAAGCCATGTCAGTATGAAAATTGTGTGAATGAATATTTATCAAATTATACGAGACGAAGGGAACTTCTCATTGGTGGTTTCTGGGCTGCAGACGGCCACAAATGAAACAAATGACATTTTGTAAATTTTTAAAAATATTTTTCAATAATAAATTTTGGAATATAAAGTGTGGCCAAACATTAAAGCCATTTCATAACATGCCAATGCTGGCACTTAGGGGAGAGATGGTACAGCTACTACTCATTCTTAACACTAAAAGGGGGTAAGTGGTCAGCATCACGCCCGGGCCATGCTTTACCACCAGAAACGGACCCCAGTACCCACTGGACAGGAGGCTGGGTAAACTCCTACAAGACTACGTAGCACAAGAACCCAGAAGACAGCCATCGTCTTACTCAATTGTGTGAGAACTTCAAATCTCAATTAGGCATTTTAGTCCAACACTCTTTGCAAATTCGAAACCCCTCTGACCTCTGAACTCATGTTATTTGAGAACATTTAAATTCTCTTGCACAGAAAAATTAAGTGAAAAAAATATAAAGTTGGAAATTTATTCTACCTTCACAAACAGGTTCTTAATACTAAAATATTAATTTTATACATATTTTGTATAAAAGAGATTAAAAATGTTAAGAAACACAAACCAAGACCCAAATTGTGGTTTGTGCTGAGCACTTCAGATGCTAAAACACGTGAAAGTTTTGATAGTTTAGTTGATTTCATAGTTCATTTTATAATCCAGTTAATTATACAAGTCATTTAGTAATAAATAAGAGATAATATGAGAAATAATGAGGTGTGAAGGATTTCAGAGGGAGCAGTTATGATATATTTCACAGTATCATCCTGGAATTTGTCTGAAGAAACTGAGTAACCATAAAAATAGGACAGCACATCATAATCTTCAATATGCATACAGCCTGTGTTTCCTCTTCCTCCTTTTAAAACTACAAAATATTTCTCATTACCTGTTCTCGCTATTAATCACGTTAGTTAACTCTTATTGAAGATCACTTTAATAATAAATAAACTATGTTCTATTGTCATCAATCAAATTTCGACTCCATTAACTTGTCACACACGTCCTGCGCCGTAGCCGCGCGGTCTGAGGCATCATGCTTTGGACCGGTGATACAGAATGTGCGCTGGTTCGAGTCTCGGGGGAGAAGAAATTTTCTTATGAGCTTTTAACCAGTGTATGGGACCGGTGCCAATCCAGCATCGTGAGGAAATTGGGGAGCTACAATGAGTAGCGTAATCCGGTCAGGAAAGCTAGCAATGGCTGGGGGTTCGTCGTGCTGACCACACGTCACTCTGTATCTGGTTGGATGATCGTTCACCTCTGCTTAGACATGTGAACGTGAGGCCAGCAGCCAGCTAGTCGGCGTTGGCTCTCTGGAGCTGTTACGCTTCAATTTAACTTGTCACACACAACTATTAAAACATGTATCATCTTTTAATTTTCTAAAATGTAAAAATGCATTATTAATGTGATGTACAGAATCAGATTATAGAATGTTACAGAAGGGGCTGCAGTTTATAAAGTAAAGACTCTGAGAAGCATAATGCAAACTTACCTGGACACACGGCAAAAACAAATTTACAGTTACATAAACTCAAACAATATTGGCATAAAGCAAATGAACAAATACATCACCTGCTCACAAATTCATCAACTGAAAACAGACTAATTCTGGTTAAAATGGTAAAAACCATGACCAGAATATGACGTCCTCACCTCAAATGCCAAGAGGCGGTCCTCCTGTGATCGTGAAGTGCAAGCATCAGCAGCTACATGCACCTGAAGGCCTCGAAAACACAACTCTGCTGCAGTCTGTTCAACACACACATGCGCCTGCAAGAAAACACGTTCATGTTATACGGCACTCCCTCGTTATCCGTCTTTCTAGAAAAACCATACAAATGGTAAAATAATGACGCACAATGTTAAGACCTTACAGGAAAAATGGGGTTAGGGAAATGAAGACACGATACTTAATAAACATAAAGATATTAGTGTCAATGTTTATTAGGATGACATTGACATTCCTGGCTGAAAGTTTTAAAAACTGCATAAGCATAGCTGCAGTACACAAATTCTACCAAATACTTTTCAGCAAATAAGTAAAACTGTGATGCGCTTACAATGGTAGAGGAAGGTAAGCTGTGTTTCATGATATGAGTGCAGTATTAGGTTATATGCTTCCTGCACATACCTCTATGCCAAATAGCACGACACATTCAAGCATCCCATCACAAAGAGTCTCAAGCTCTTCAGCCACTTCAGGCACTACCATGCTGAACTTTGTCTTTGGGTACACTCCACGAGCATGAGATATGTCCAGCTCTGCCACCGTTTTACCCAGCCCTTTTGGATTCTGCTCTGTCACTACAAGAGGGACATTTAAAATCTTGGAGACCTGAACCTGTAAAACAGCAACTGTTAAAATAGAATATACTTGGAAATGTACATTTACATATGCAATAAACTTAAATTTCTACTTGTCGCATGAAAGAGACACAGATTTCAATGTTTGCATATACAAATGTGTGTGTATATGCCAGGAGTTAAAATATTTTAACAGCAGTGCACACTAACAGTGCATCCCAAACTTTTTCACTTTTTGTGTTTAAAAATACTGACAGAACCTCATATGCATGAAAGGACATTAATCAAGTGAACAGTTTCTATGACCAGAATGTTTAAGTGAAAATTTTCAATGGGTAAATTTCTTGTTCTTTTCACTCTACTCCTGCTAGGGTTATTTTCCAAATTATACATTCAAATTCACTCTCAACATCATTCTAACCTTCTTTCAGGTACCCAAACATTTCTCCAAAACTGGGATCACGAGATGTAACAAACTTCAAAGCTCCCACATGCTTACTCATGGTGTAGATGACAGTAGCAAAGTCAAGAAAGTCACATAACTGGTTAATGTGTGGTCTCCTGCCACCAAACTAAATGTTCTGATACAAATTGCAACAAACAACCAAAAAAGAAAAGAAAATATGAAATTTATAAACAAAAGATAAGAAGGTACTGAGAACATCAGATCGTTGCATGCCAGTTTCTCAGTAAAAACAAGATATTGTTTCTATTGCAGTATCACATACCACACATCAATGATTAAGTGTTAATATGGATCTTACAGAAACAGACTTACTTCATTTGGCTCTGGGTAGGGTTCTTGTGAACATATTAATAACATTATATAAACAAATAATAATTCAGGCTTAATAAAGAATAAATGGTAAAAGAACTACTAGATTCCCAAGAAAGACTCAGCTCCATGAGTTAAAATGGGATGGAATGGCATATGATGTCATCCTGTCTGCAAAAAATCCATTCCAATGATGCTGCATCAGTTATGAAACCACAATTTCTATATTTTTGATCTGAGGTTCTCACTGCAGAGATATGTTGATGTTGATCTTCTGGGTTGTAATGCCATGTGGACTTACAGATACCATTTTCATGAATACACTGCCTTCATCGACAGAGCTGAAGATTGAGACAGTCTTCTTCTGTTGTAATCAATCCTAGGATTGGTTGGCAGCAGCTCTTGAGCTGCTCATACTTGGGAAATCCTGAGGATCTTTAATGCGGTGGTGGATTCCCCTTGCCTTCCGCATCCTATGCTGTTGACCCATCCGCCTTTAGGGGTGATTTCTCACCCCAAGGGCATGAGGGTGCCCTGACGTTACAACCCATTTGACCAACACTAACAATTATTTATCTATAATGTTTCTTCTAGATTTAAATGTTGATCACGAATCCTTGGCAAAACTGTTTTTTCTCCCCTTTCAAGCCATGTAAAATGGAACTTTATTCTCTGAAAAAAACGTTAAAATCAATGGCTGACAACACAGATGACACACTCCACAAGAAGTAATTCAAGATGTTTCATCCTTGACAAACATTTGCTCTTTCAAATACACGACACAAACAGAAGCAATTTAGCGAGCTCATATTTTGGGCAGCATATATTGTTACTGAAAAACCAGTACAGTCCATTCTACAGCTTCCTACGTAAGCAGTCCATATGATAAGAAAATCATAATTTCGGTTTTTTATTCACATTATCATACCAATTTCTTTGCAGCTTCAAGTATTTGCTCAAAATGTGATAAAGCAGGGCGGAATTTTTCCTGTATATCGCACAAAAAGAATGCAGTTCGTTTTTCTGGCAACTGACCATACTTTAAAAGTGAACGTGACATCTTCTTGTCTTGCAGAACGTTCCTTCAAGGCAACAAATTTGAACACTGTGTGTTAAATGTGCAGAATAACCTCTTACAACCTGCGATACGACAACTTCATCCTGCACACAGATAACCCGATCACAAGTACGAACTCACACCAAAGTCCACGCCATAGGTTATACCTATTACCACAGATACACCAAAACCATCACAGGAACACTGTCCATCAGTTGTCATGTTACATAGGTATGATGGACGATAGCACAACACTATCATCTCTCGTTTTGAATAGTAGGTCAAGTAAATAATAAATGAAGGGATATCAATGAACATTACTATAAAAACAGCTTGAAAATGATTTGTTCTTAATTTACGAAAGATATCAATTTTTTTATTAAATCAGGTAGTTAAAAAATTAAATAGTTGGGGAAACATGATTTCACGAGCAGTAACTTCGGAATAAACTGGAGGTTCGTTCTTTGAATCGTTTGTGACCGAGGCAGCTAGGCAAATTCACGAGGCGAACTAGGATGTTATGCGGTGAATGGTTCACGAATTACCTTCCTCCTATTAATTTCCTCATTGGACACTCGCAACAGATCCATGCTTTCTTAGAAAAAGTGATGCAAAACATCTGTATAGCAATAAACATAATATTAATCATTATCTTTGGCTGTACAGCCCTGTGTGGGCCTTGGCCTTCTTCAAAACTTTGTTCCTTATTCACAGACAATCTGTTTGCCTCATCTGATTTTGTAACAAGTTGGTTTTTACAGGTAGGGTTGTGAACCCCAAGCCCAACCCTGAACCTGGAAGACATCACCTCCGTATTTACAGCCCCTGGAGTTAGGGTGGCCCAGCTATCCCCCCAGGCACTGGGTGGCTCGGGTACCGTGGAATCATAACTAACTAACTAACTAGATGGCTTACCGAACCCGAAGGTTCATAACCGAATTAACCAAAGCCCTCCACCGGACCCTGTCCTGGGCCAACAAAATCCAGTCTCCTTCAACTCCTATCTCCCATAGATCCCGCCTGACGTATCTACATCTAGGTCTCCCCAGTGGTCTCTTCCCCTCAGGCTTACCAACCAATACCCGGTGCACACCGCTTGTCCCATCCATGTGCGCTACATGCCCCGCCCATCTCATTCTTCTCGACTTAATCACCCTGAAAATACTGGGGGAGGAGTACAGATTTTTAAGCTCATCATTATACTTGCCAAAATTGAATTCATATAGAATTACAAGCACAGCAAGTTAATGGTTCTAATTATATATATAACACATCAGAACAAGTTTATTGAAATAAACTTAAAACAAGAAAAATGTTTCAGCCTGAAGAGAAATGAAACATAGTGTGCCTCAGGATTCAGTTCTTGGAGAGATACTATTCTTGTACGTAAATGATCTTCCAATAATTATTCAAGAGACAAAGACAATTTTATTTGCTGATGACACAAACATTTTCTTAACAGCACAGAAAGGAAACATTATCCAAAACAAGCAATAGAGCTATGAATGAGTTGTAATTATGGCTTTATACAGTCTTTTGATAAATACAGAGAAAACAATAGCAATATCGTTCCATTTTAGGCAGTAAGGAGTTCCATTAAAACCACAAGTCAAATTTGACAGTGTGGATACTGTCTATGAATTGGAAACAACTAGGAGAATGGCCTATTGGAAACAACAGGGTATAAAAATATCAATATTGATACAAAATTTGTTTTCCGTCTATACACAAACTTAAATCAATATTGATATCATATAAGTTATTTCTCATTCCAGATAGTTTCCACCCCTTACTCTGAATAGGGCAAATGCAACTCAGAATTAAATCATATAGTTCATGAGCAGTTTGTAATCTGTCATCGTGTTTCTGCAACACACATTTTTGTAATGCTGTATCACCATGCATGATCAAAATATAGTTATTGCATAGTATTTATGTAATTATAAGAGAACAATTAATAAATATGATGAGTGTATGAGTACATATCCAGTGGCCAATTATACAAAATCTACAGATGGTTTTTTTTTTGCCAGCATTATATTCAGTAGTCTTAGTAATGTATAATAGGCCAAAATGACAAATTTTCAGATTAAAGCACTTGGACATGACCTTAATTGCACTATGTGGAAATCTAGGTTTGTGTTTTAAAGAAATTCTTTCAATTCTGTATAAAATTAATTGAATTTGATGATGAATACTGACAGCATTTCACATTCCATATATCAGTCATCAGATTATAAACATAATACATCACATAGAAATGGCCTGTTTAACTTGACAGGTAATTAAAAATCAACAATTCAGGAACTATATTTGATAAATATAATTCCAGAGAAAGCCTTTTCATACTCTACTATAAGAATACAACTCACAATCAGAATTAAATTATTTAGAATGAAGGACATGAAGTTCAGAGGGTTCTTTTACAAACAACATATTATCTCATGCATATTTAGGAAGTAATGCTGTTTCTATTTCATAACAACTTATGAACACTGCCTAACTAATCAGAGAAGTATCTGGGGAGAGGGTGTCTGTAATTGGCTGTACATATTACATTAATAAAAGAATTTTATATCCAAGAGACAATGATATCCACCATATCAATTAAGACATTCTTAAAAGTCTTGCCAAACAATCTCACATATTCACATCCAAATATTATCAACATTCATAGAATGGAAAGACTGCATTAAAACACTTGTCCATGGACTACTAAGTCGGCCTACATGTACTTCTATACAAAGCAGAATAACAGATTTCTTCATGGTTTGAGGTTTTCAAGGTAGTGATTCTGAAGATCGCACTCTTCTGAGTTATCATGTAAATAAAACTGCTTTAGATGTGCCTCAATATTTAATTATATGTAATTTTTTCGTAGTGTTAAATTAATATGGCTCTGAATGAAGACCTCTCTCAATCACTAAATTTAAATCTCCATTAGCTTACCATTCATTAAAGCTTATGTTCTTGGAAGAACACAAATTGATGTAATATCTGAAATCATGATATACTGTTGCTTAGTGTATGCTGTTTAAGATCTCTGACAAAAGAACCTATAAATCAGTGCAGGATGGGACTCAAGCAATATAAGAGTGAGAATTCTGCTTTTCTTCCATTTTTGGTAACCATATTCAGAAATGAGACCATAAATTTCCATTAGTAATGGTGCCGTGTTCACCTAAAAGTTATTGAATTTTATGCTGTAGTGCATATTTATTACATTTTATAAAAGAAAAGTTTTATATTTTTTTAAATAGAATCATACATTACAGTACTAAAAATCATCCTACACAACCTGAATTATAGCAGCTGATCATCATGAGGATTCATTAGATTGTTAATATATAATACACACACATATATCATGGATCCAAAAGGTATTCAGAATGATAATATGATGTAGTCATAAAAATACAAAACAGAGATACATGCAATTCAAAGTAAAGTAAAGTTTTCACACAAAGTATTCAAATGTTATTCAAAATCCATATGTATAATTAGATGTTATAATACATAAAATCCAAAGGTCTTTAGAAAGGTTATGTGTTATTTTTAAGCATTAGGAATCCATCAACAGATTAATAAGAGTGTATAACAGCTTAGAAGGGTATGAGGTATTCACAGCAATGAGTGTGAAGATGGCTGTCTTCTGGGTTGTTGCTCCATGTAGTCTGGTAGAAAATTACCAATGTTTCAGAGGTCTTTCCTGCTTTCATCCATCCATGGTGCAATAACCCAGAAGACAGCCATCTTCAAACTTTAAGCTCTATTTACCATTATAAATACACAAATCAGAAGAAGAGGAAGAGAGCAAAGTGACAGCACATGTAAAGAGATAACCCAATCTTTCTTTACATTATCAGATGTGAAATTATTACATTTAGACTGTCAGGAGGTTAAGTCATGTGCTTGCATAGCTATTGTATTATACTTACATTGATTCACAAAATGCAGTGTAGTGTAAACATCAGTGTATCAAATGTGTATTCAGTGAAACAAAACATGCTTAGACAGACATTTTGTTGTCTTCCTTTCCCCTCTTACTGTGACACAGTGGAAGCTTGGAGTTTTTTTTTTGCATTCACTGAACTGACTCTTAAATATTCTTTTCATCATATTGTGGTGAATTATTTATTTCTTACATCTGCTTTAGCTATATTTATGACCAAATTGTTAGCAGTTAACCATTTACTCATATGAAAGAAAACTACAACACTGTACAGAAATCAGAAAAATGATTACTATAAATTACTGCACTTGTGTCATCAGCAAATATAATGGGTTCTTAGAAGGTGTTTCTTGTTGGAGACATCTACGCACCCATTTCACTAGCTACGCAGATATCATGCCATACTAAGTGTACTTCATAATTCTTAGAACTGGCTGTTGCCCTTGTGTTCCATCTCCCTGGCAACTTGCA